CCCCGGCGCGCAGCCGGACTGAGCACCTGGCACAGGCGGCGCAGGTTGGTGAGAAAACCACGCTCCTCCAGCCCAGCGCCCAGCAGCCTGATTTCCCGGGGGCTCCTAGGAACCCAAATTCTTTCTTTTTTTTCTTTTTTTTTAAACATATTTTACTGATTTTTTACAGAAGAAGGGAGAGGGATAGAGAGTTAGAAACATCTATGAGAGAGAAACATCGACCAGCTGCCTCCTGCACGCCCACTGGGGATGATGTGCCCGCAACCAAGGTACATGCCCTTGACCTTGATCGAACCTGGGACCGTTCAGTCCGCAGGCCGACGCTCTATCCACTGAGCCAAACCGGTTAGGGCATCTTTTTAAAAACATATTTTTATTGATTTCAGAGAGGAAGAGAGAGATAGAAATATCAATGATGAGAATCGATTGGCTGCCTCCTGCACGCCCCACACTGAGGCTCCAGCCCGCAACCCGAGCATGTGACTTGACCGGGAATGGAACCCTGACCTCCTGGTTCATAGGTACACGCTCAACCAACCACTGAGCCACGCCAGCCCGGCTGTCGTCAAAATAACCCTGACCTCCTGGTTCATAGGTCCACGCTCAACCAACCACTGAGCCACGCCAGCCCGACTGTCGTCAAAATATTTTTTTAAATATATTTTTATTGATTTCAGAGAGGAAGGGAAGGGGAGAGAGACAGAAACATCAATAATGAGAGAGAATCGATTGGCTGCCTCCTGCAGGCCTCACACTGGGGATGGAGCCTGCAACCCAGACATGTGCCCTTGACCGGAATCGAACCTGGGACCCTTCGGTCCTCAGCCTGACGCTCTATCCACTGAGCCACACGGCCGGGCTGTCACCAAATTCTTGCTCCCCCAGACACCCTCCCCCCAAGCCCTGCTCCTAAGGGACTGGGGGGTCTGGTCACGCCGTGTTTCCTGCTCCGAGACAAAGGGATCGCACTATCTCCCTGACCTTCCCTCCTAGAAAGCTCAGCTCTGACCTTTAATCCCGTGTCAGGACCAGAGATCCAAATCTTCAACGTCACCCGGGAGTGCCATGGCCCAGCCCCACCTCCCCGAGGTGCCGACAGGACCCAGCCCCGCCCCCGCCCCCAGCAAAAGTCCAGGTCTCTCCCAGGTCTCTCCCGGAGGCCCGCAGCCCCTCCCTAACGGGGCCCAGGCATCCTACCTGCGACCCCCTCCCACCAGGGAACCACCGCCCATCGCCAGCCACCGGAGCACCCCACCTGGTGGTCCTTTGGGATCAGACTTCTTTTTTTTAAGTATATTTTATTGATTTTTTTACAGAGCGGAAGGGAGAGGGATAGAGAGTTAGAAACATCGATCAGTTACCTCTAGCACACCCCCCACTGGGGATGTGCCTGCAACCCGTACATGCCCTTGACCGGAATCGAACCCGGGACCATTCAGTCCGCAGGCCGACGCTCTATCCACTGAGCCAAAC